ATATTTATTTAATGGTACCTAAGCCATCTAAATACAAACGGTATACGCAAAGAGATTTTATTACGAATTAATTCAAATACACTAAAAATTTGTACAAAATACGAAAGGACTTTTTACTCCGATCTATTATTTAACGGCCAATCAAAAATGTATTTCCATTATTAAAAAAGACTTAAAGTAGATCGTATAAGCGTTTCAATTGGCTTTCTAAATTAAATAAGTTTTCTTGATCTTCAAATTTACTAGACTCTTCGTCAGTCAACTTATGACATATGGCCCACCTACAACATTGCTACTCGTAAACCTATACTTCTATTTACTATATTATATAGTAAGTAGAAGTATAGGTTAGCAATGTACACTTTATTATATGTAGTAAGTATAAAAATATATTTTCCTATATTCTTTGAGAGTACTTTAAAGAATTCTGTTTCAAAGTCAAAGTCAAAGTCAAATATCTTTATTCAATATAGAAGCATTCACTTACTTATTGATAGTCAAAAAACTCTACCACCGGTTCGGAAGGTAAGCCACTGACCTGAGAAGAACCGGCGTAAGAAACTCAGCGGGTTTCAAACTCCTATTCCTATAATTCCTGTTATACAAACAATATAATAAATTATACTGATGCTGCTACATGAATAATATATATATAAGGGATAACATAAAATCAAATTGACGCGATCACCTCCGATGTCTTGAATAAATCATAAGCTTTATACGTTCGACGGAAACGACGAGAAACGGATATAGATCACAATGTCAAGTGTGTTACTTTTACTTAATATGTGAAATAAAGCTTTTTATTTGTATGAATACGTTAATTATTTTCAAACGTTAGTTATTTCTTTTCATGTACATCCTACCCATCGACAATTCCTTTTGGTAAATTTCTGAGATTGCCTGGAAAAAAATGCTATGTAGCACTAAGGTCGCTTTTTGACGACCAATATTTGATATATGTAAAAGTATATCATATATTGGTCTCAAATATACATCTCTTATTGTATTAGGGCCACACAACAGTCTTCTCTGTTGCACGAATGGGCTGGTCCGTCCATATTATTACCTCACTCCATATTATGAACTCACAGAAAACTAGCGTGAAGTGGATGTATTATTCTGCGTTTCATCTGTGAGTGAGGTAGCTGGGGCTCACTTTATTATAAATAAGCTTTCCTTACCAGTATTACATTTACCTTTATATAGTGTTTAAGACATCTTTTTTAGCGCTGTCACTTTCTCTGAGTATTCTGTCTTTTTGTATATGTTCAGTAAATATATTTAGTTAATAATTAAACTGCGTCATATCTATTCTCATGTAATTTCTGAAAGTTCGAAATCTAAATGATCCAGAATGTTCATATGTGATAATTTATTTCTTAGAAGTACCTAAATATTTTCCCGCACCTATTTTATTTACTGCTACGGCGGCAACGCCAAGATTTTGACTTTTAATAACGATGGTGCCATGATGATACAACAGGACCGATCGTGCCCGACGCCAACTACCGACTGAAATTGACTGCCTACTTAGGCCAGCGAAAACAGAATGAGCTCACTCCAATTTATAGGAGAGGAATTTTTAGGGCGCTAATTGTTATTCTAACCGCTGCTTAAAATTTATGTGAGTTGTTATGTCAGTGGTCGTAGCGGTCGCGAGCAAACATCATGTGAAACCAATGACGCCGTGCGGTAACTCAACGAAATAATACTGAAATTGGTAAGCTTTTTTAATCCATTTCCAGTCTGAAAACTGAAATATGCAGGCCAATGCTTCTGTATAGTAATTGAAATTTTACATCAAATTTAATTAAAGTAATGCTTAAGCAAAACAAATATTGCAGCAAAGAACGGGGAAATGTTTTGCGGTCGACGCGTATGTTGTCAGTGTAAACAAACAAACAACTCGCTCCATTAGCTCTAATTGTGTTTAACCGCTGCCTTTTTTATGTGATCGTCCCTAGAGTCCATATATTTTTTATCAACTCTTTTACTACAAGCTGATTAATTTAACCCTTGCCTACACAAGTTTTAAATTGTTACTTATATTTTTGCGGCGACTCAGTAATAGCTGTTCAAATTAACCAGTCGGAGCAACTGCCATTACCTCAGAAGAATGGCGTGACATAAGTGTATTTACATTTTTTTCACTTACAAATAGGTGAATAGCTAACTCAGTTGCAACCCTTAGACGTAAAAAAAGAAAACTTCTAAGTACTGGATATTTGAAATAGTGTCGATAAAATGGATTTTGGAGTAAGCATTAATAAAGTACTAAAGCAAAATTAGAATGACATTTGGCGACTACCGTCGACACCGTAGTGCCAGTAAAGGCCTTTGTTTCAACCCTACCTAAGGTAGTAAATAAAACTAAGTACAGCCGATACAAGTTAAAAACCCCACATGACTGTTAGAGACCGTCTCAGAAGGAGGCACATACATCTATAGGGTCGTGGTTGTGGTTCGTTTGTTCATGCTTTTGAAGATTTGTTTGTTCATGCTTTGGCGCGTCCAAGCAAGTATCATGACCTCACAGAAGACCTTTGACGTTTCGTATGGTGAGTAAGGTAACCTATCCTACCGGGACCTAAAATAATCGTCAGACTACCTAAATTAATCGTCAGACTCCTATTAAATAAATTCATACAAACTTGTTTTCAATCTTCCACACCGCTAGCAGATATAGTCGTAGAGCTTTCATTTTCTATATACCTTACTGTACTAACGTTTAAATTTCTAAGAACTTACGGACAGCCAGTGAGCGTTATAAGCATCCCTTGACAAAGTGCTATAAAGTGTCCCGTTACTAAAGACGTCTAAGCTGGATGACCGCCAAATCTGCAAATTAATGTAGTTGCTATTCCACCTGTTTCAGAGAGGTTTGTTATATTACAGACATTCAACACATACTATGGCTACCGTACTTTATTGAAACGAGTTGAGCCAAGCCAATTTTTCACACGATTATAGTATAATTAATTTTCCACAGGAAATAAATGCTATTGTTATTGAATGTAACATTTTAAAAATTGGGAGAATAGTGTAAAATACGAGTGCGATTTACAACATAGTTTTTAAAAGTACATTATTTTTGATTCGAAATTATTGTTTATTATAAACATCTAAGATCTAAAGAGATAATGAAAATGATTGCAAAACCAAAATGCTCTTTTTATTCTTTAAAAGTATTAACTCCTTTTCCTCCTCCATTGCATATATTTTATTACCAGGGGACATAGTCTTGGTTATGATTAAAAAATTTTGTTTCAAATGTTACATTTCATACGACGTATACATTGTTAAAGACAAAATTGTGGGTAAAGGAAACTTTCGGAAAAAAAAAAAAAACTGTTTCGTTTGATTTTAATTCATGTAAATGATGGTTAAATGAAAGTATTTAAAGGATTTTATCGCGTGTTAACTTGATTTTGAATTCTCGAAATTTCGAAGAATTTATTATTACTTTGTTTGGGCCACACAACAGCTTCTGCTGATGTACGAATTGGCAGCCCCATGCGGGGAAGTATCACGGCCTCACAAAAATCGGGCGCGAAGTGGAAGTTACTATGCTTGTCGTTTCATCTGGTGAGTAAGGTAAGCGGGGCCCAATTTTTAAAGGTTGTCAACACCCAACTCAGGCAATATTCATGGGTGAATTAAAACAAACTGTTGTTATATTAATAATATGTCTGGCTTAAAATTAAATATCTGATAGTACTTACCATCAACTGCAAGAGTGTAATAAGTTAAAATAGATAAATATGGAGTTTTTTTTTTTCATTTTATTAAAATTATGTAATATAAAAGATTTTTTTATCTTAACTACTTAATTAAATATGTTACTTCTAGGGGCACCTTTACAGTATTCAGTGAGACTGGGTGCAAAAATGTAGGTACTTCTTACTGCAGACCACGAAAAATCAAAACCGTGACCACAGTTGTCTCACAATATAATTCATAAAATTTCACCGTTATAATATATTTAACTACTCATGTTCTCAGAATACACTTACAAAAGTTAGAAATGAAACGGATATTTGAAACTTTACAAAAGTCCACGAATGAACATTTTTATTTTCTTAATTATCGCTTTGTTAAACTTAACTCATTTATCGTCTTATTTTAGGGGGGAGATAACAAAAAATGTTCACGTTCAGAAACTTGCTGTATGAGTTACGTACGTGAGCATTTTTTTAACGGGAGCCTTGTCCTGCTTAACGTTTGTCAAATTATTATATGATTAGGATTAAAGTGGAAATATGACTTATGAATGTTAATGGGACGTTGCGCGCTTGTTCTGTTTTTCGTAATTATTTTTGTATTTTCCTCTTGTTGTCCTTTCTCTTTTAATTTTAGCTTTCATTAAATTGTAAAAGAAAATTAAATTCTTACTATATTACTATACATACATTAAACTTGTACTTAATATTATTAAGCATTGTTCGTAAAAAAATTTTTTGACTCTTCATTTTAGGCGAAAGCATTCGTCCTGTGCTGCCCATTCTATAATTAAAATAATGTTCGAATTCATGACACGCCAGCAGTTTTAAATAATTGATTTTGATTTTGATTTGTACTAAGACTACAGATTTGAATTTCATTTCCAATATGAATTAAGAATTACATACATGGATCCGTCTTTTTTGGGTTCCGTACCCAAAGGGTAAAGTGGAACCCTATTACTAAGACTCCGCTGTCTGTCTGCCCGTCCGTCACCAAACTGTGTCGGATGAACCGTGATTGTTACGAAGTTGAATTAAGCTTTTGTACCCTATTCCAAGCCTTAATAATGAGAGAGCATACCTCGACTTCCGGAATAACACGTCAAAACACGCCCCCTTTAATAGCTATGTCGTAACTTCCGCCGCCATTTTGTTCCCCCACCATTGCACAGAGCTCAACAGCCATGCGCCGTAGCCGCGCTAGCTTCATTGGCGTTCTTTGACTCGTCCGAGTAACACTGGCAATTTGAAGAAAGTGCTTCAAATTTTTAAAAAATGGAAGAAAATTCCGGCTCCGGTGTGCCGTTGAGTTTTCATGCCCCCGCGAAGTCCAGGCGTGCATCAAGTACATCTAGTGCCTCGTCATCCGCGTCTTCGAGTGCTGGACATCATCATAGGAAGAATCGCCGCCGCAACCGCAGAAATGATAAGCGTATGAAGCGTTTGGAAAAGGCAGTAGACAATCTTACTGCCACCGTAAGTACTATAGTAAAAGGTCAGTCAATACATTCTGTTCCTAAAATGCACGAGAATAGTGATTCTGACGCGCTGTCTATCTTGGTCCCCGACGATTCGGAGGCTTCTTTTAGCCACGATAAAACTGAAGGTAGTCAGCCAGTGCTCCATAGTTTTGATTTCAAGCAGGAAACTACTCTCAAATCGACGATTCCGAAAACTTCTACCTCTCATGCAGAAACTTTGTGCAAGTTACAACACTTTGACACGATTGATTGGTCACAGGTTAGGTATGCAGAAATTCAAAAACAATACGTGTCTAGTCCAGGTTTTTTAGAGCTGGAAAGCAACGATATGCTTAAAATGTTCGATCGCAATAAAACATTAGCTGCAACAGAAAAAACTCTGGCCGCCGTTTCACATGGCTTAATTATTCAAAATGAAAAATTACTTGAAGGCCTTCAGAAATTACTTTCATGGCTGGGTTCTACTCAGTCTTTGACCACTGACGATGTTTTGAATAAAATAAATGAGATTTTTTCCGACGAATACATTCAAACGCATTTGGATCTTTAACAAATGGTTTGTGGTCGGCGTGCAGACGTAATACAGCAGCGGCGTGATTGCGTTCTTAATTATGTTAAGGACAAAGGCATTAAAGAGAGTCTCAGAAAGATTCCTCCTACTATCAACCATTTGTTTAATGATGATCGGTTTTCAGACTGTATATCGAAGAATGGCGGTGTAGAGAAAGTGTTCATGCTGCCAGCAAGCAATCCTGCGCAAGGATGTGCCACTAAGACAACTCTTGCGCAAAGAGTACATCATATGGAGCAGAGAAGAGTATACTCTTCGAAGGCGCGTTCCCGAGCTCTAACAGCGCCTGCGACCAGCTCCAACGCACCGTTATCGCAAGGTCGAAAACGTAAGTCTGACAACTTTCGTAACTCCCAGGGCGATAAATATTACAAAAATAGCCAGGGACGGCGCTCCCAAAGACGTTACGATTGACTATCCGACCTTTCAGGCCGGACAACTCCGTCATTTTGTCGATCGATGGAGAAAGTGGGGAGCACCCGACCATGTTCTAAAAATTATATCAGGATACAAAATACCCTTTCACAAAAATCCACCATTAGTACATCCGCGTCGAATCCCGAGCAGGTTTCACACTCGAAATTCACCGGAGGTAAGAATCGAATTTCGGAAATTGGTGGCACAGGGGTTTTGGAGCCAGTGCCACTAACTCCAAGTTTTGTTTCAAACATATTTTTGGTTCCAAAGGCGGACAGGAAATTGCGTCCTGTTTTCAATTTGAAGCGCCTAAACGAATTTGTGTGTACAGAAAAATTCCGTCTAACGAACATGTTCATAGTCCCGGATTTTCTCCAGACGAACGATTGGATGATAAAACTAGACCTCCACAGTGCATATTTTCACGTGCCAATTTCGTCTCACCATCGGTGTTTCCTACGGGTGATTTTTCGCCATCATCTATGGCAAATAACGTGGCTACCGTTCGGTTTATCGACGGCACCAAAAATCTTTGCAACCCTTACAAACTGGGTCGCCGAGATTCTCAGAGCCCAAGGATTAAGACTCCTAGTTTATCTCGACGATTTTTGTCTCGTAAATCAGGACAGGAAAGTACTGATCCAACAGATGGAATTCACTGTCAGTCTGTTCAGAGAATTAGGACTAACAATCAATTTCGAGAAATCCGTTCTGGAACCGCAAAGGTCTTTAGAATTTCTAGGCGTGCAATGGAGTCCCTGGACAAACAGGAAGAATCTTCCATTGACAAAAGTCGAGAAGCTGTTAGCGAAATCCAGAATCCTCTTATCGAGGAGGATGGCTTCGTTACGACAAATACAATGTTATCTAGGCCTGTGCAACTTCGCCAGCTTTGTAGTTCCCAGGGGTCGATTAAACTCTCGCCCAATATTGTCACACTACCATCAGTTGTTGCAACAGAACCCCTGGACGGAATTCCCAATTCCCGACCAAGTATTGATGGTGATGAGATGGTGGTTAGCTCACGCCCACAAACGCTCTCTCCTTCATTACCCTGCCCCGGAGATGCTCCTAACAACCGACGCGTCAGTTCACGGTTGGGGAGCAGTATTAAACGATTTGAAAATGTCAGGCACGTGGCAGAGTCACGAAAAAGAGTTTCACTCCAACATTCTAGAGATGATGGCGATAGAAAAAGTTCTGAACCTACATGCTCGGTCCATCATGAACTCGATACTACAGATCTTGTCGGATAATCGCACAGTGCTTTTTATCTCCGGAACGAGGGAGGAACCAGGTCTTTACCGCTAATGAATATCACGGTGCGAGTTTTAAGGTTGTTGGATCGGTACCATATCCCCATGTCAATAAATTACCTCCCCGGCCGTTACAACGTGGAAGCCGACGGTCTATCCAGATTGCAAGCCAATTCGCAATGGCATCTGCGAGATCTGATGACTCATCAGATTTTTCAACATTGGGGAACTCCCGAAATAGATCTGTTCGCATCAAATCAGGCCCATGTAGTCCCGTCGTATGTAACAATGGATCCATTCGATACTCAAGCAGTCTTCATCAATGCGTTCAGTCGCCTGTGGAATGACCGGATCGCATGGCTGTTTCCACCACCGTAAATAGTTCCTCGGGTCTTAAGACATTTGAACAAATGCAAAGGAGTGTTTCTGATGGTTGTTCTGAAATGGACCAAGGTATTCTGGCGCAGCGACTTGATGGCAAGGTCTCTCTCCCCTCCAATAGAGATTCAAGACGTACAGGGAGCGTTGGTGGATGTGCGAACTTAGATGCCTCCCCCGGGTGCCAAGCAAATGATTTTGGAGGTTTGGCAGATACGGGGTGGAGCTCAATGCTTGGTTCATGGGACGAAAGTCAAAAAGGTCTTTTGTTAGGTAGTTGGCGAAAATCGACCCTTTCTTCATATAGACCTGCTTGGACAAGGTAGTGTTCTTGGGCCTCGTCTAACGAAGTTTCAAGAACAGACCCTAGTCCTTCTGATTTGGCACGATTTCTAGCTGACTTGCACCAAAAGACCAAGTTGTCATACAGCTCAATCTGTCTTCACAGTTCGTAAGTTCAATCTTCTGTCCTAAAAATCCCCCATTAAGTAATCATGTCATTGTTAGACAAACCCTTAAGGCAATATCCTTGTGTAAACCTAGACCCCACAAGGCTCCTATTTGGGATGTCAAAGATTTGTGCAATTTTTTGGAAACTAATAGTCCGGTTAGTGAGTCCTTATTTGAAACTTCCAAAAGATGTGCCATTCTGCTTCTATTGTGCTCAGGACGTCGAGTTCATGATTTAACTCTTTTGAAGATATGCGATTCTTCTTGTGTAATTGAAGAGGAATCTATTCTGTTTTGGCCAGATTTTGGTTCCAAAACTGACAGTGCCAGTCATCGACAATCAGGATGGAGGCTAATTTCGTATCCATCTAATAGAAATATCGATCCGGTATATTGGGTCCAGAAATTGATTGAAGTATCCCAAATCAGGCGGGGTGATTGCAATAATTTATTTATCACATCAGTAGGGAATGTAAAACCGGCTTCTCGCACCATTATAGGCGGCTGGATTAAATCTGTTTTAAAAGAAGCTGCAATCGATAATTCTCCAGGAAGTTGTCGGTCAGCTGTTGCATCTTACAGCTGGCTTGAAAATCATAATATTGACGATATTTTGTTTCGAGGAAATTGGAAAAATGCGTCTACGTTCCATAGGTTTTATAAAAAGGAAGTTAAGTCGAGTAGAAAAATAATGGTACCGAGTTGTTAAACTGTTTTAATCCCGTTTAATTTTTTGTTGATTCGAATTTATTTGTAAATAAGTTTGGTATAAAATAAACATCGTATAAAGGTCAAACTTAATAGTTTTATTTACTTCACATTGGCGTTTTCTCTTCAGCAGCCGATAACAAACACTTCTCATTATTAAGGCTTGGAATAGGGTACAAAAGCTTAATTGTAAAATTTTACCTAAAAATAAAATTTAAATTAAGCGATTTACCCTATTCCAAGCCTAGTTTTTATAGCTGTCTGCTTATAATTACCATCTTTTACCTTTCAGGAAGATTTCATTGTAAGTAATCATTTATCTAACCACAATCTTAGTTTAATAAGCTATTATCTTTCAGATTGTTAAGAGTCAACATGCAGTATTAGTCTGTGAAAGTTATATGTATCCTTACTACCACCAGTCATACCATACTGTGGTTTAATTTGCCACCAGTACATCTCATACTGTGGCTAACCGAATATACCATCCATATCCAATGGACGGTATACAATAAAAACAATGAGTTCCAATGAAGCTTGTCTTGTATCTTGTATTAACTGATGTTTTTGCTTTCAGTCCCGAGACTATTAAAGCTTCATCGGACGCAGAACCGGTGGGCTAGCCAGAACCCACGGGTTTGGACCCTCCGCTATGGGTAGGGTCGCGCATGTGCTCATGCGTGCGTTTAACTACTATGGTGTGTCATCTAAGGGCCGTCGAGGTCGCCGGTTCGGACCGAGACCCCGACGGCCGTCGACTGTGCATTTAGCTAATCGGTGGCTGGGAGCGGTGAGAACCGCCCCGGAACGCGGGTGTACCTTGTGTACGCGTTGTGTACTCGGAGGCGAGGGCGGACTGGTGTGATTGTTGTTACACTAACTGTGGGTGTAGTGTTATCCGGCGGGACCCCCGGCGGTGGGTCCATCGTATCTAAGTCCTCTTCGTCGACCGGGTCGATGAGGACGTTTCGCGGGCGACGCTTGTTTACGTTCGCGTTTGTATCCGGTTGGTAGTTTGCTGCGCTTACCACCAGAGGGTTGGGATGATGCTGGGCTCTATCGAAGAACCGTTTTGTCAAATCTTTAAAATGAGCGCGAATCGTCGGGAGTCTGCAATCGCTGTGCAGGTCGACGTTGCGCTGATACCATTGCGCACCGGTTGCGCGGCGGATAAACTTACTTTGAACTACTTGCAATTTGTTAATGCGCGTAGGATTTATATGTGCGAAGATCATGCAAGCGTAGGACATGATTGGCCTTACGCAGCTTTATATAACAGTAGTTTGTGCCTTAAGGGCATTTTACTATGCTTATTCGTTAAATTGTGTTGCCGGCCGGAGACGAACGCGGCTTTATTTCGGACTTGATTGATGTTCGTAGTGAAAGTCATACGCGAGTCGAAAGTGACTCCTAAATATTTGACCGTTTTCTCCCAGGGGAGAGTTTGGCCGTATAGTGATATTTGCCCCAACTTTCGATTAATATCGATTCTCCATTTGCGGAACCAATCGCCGAGGCGGTCGGCGGCGCTTTAGAGTCGAGTTGTTAATTGACTGAGGTTGCGATCTGAGTAAAAGAGCGCCGTGTCATCCGCGAAAAGCGCGAGATTGACGTGGGGGTCTCTAGGTATGTCGCTCGTGTAGAGCGTAAATAGCAAGGGAGAGAGGCAGGAGCCTTGTGGTACGCCGGCCGTGAGGCAGCGGCTTGTGGAGAGTGTGCCCTCGACCCGATATCGAAAAGAGCGGTTCAACAAAAAGGCCCGGATTGTGTGTACCTATCTGGCACTTTGAGTGTGTACAGCTTGTAAAGCAAGCCGTTGTGCCAGGCTTTGTCGAATGCTTTTGCGACATCGAAGAAGAGAGCCCCTTTACTAATGTGTTTGGGGTGGTTAAGGCCTTTTAGGATGTGCTCCGTTAGGCGGTATAGCTGATCGGGACAAGAGTGTCTAGCTCGAAAGCCGAATTGTTCCGTCGGCAGAAGGCCGTTGGAAAATACGTGCTCTTTGAGCCTTTTTAACAATAGCCGCTCGTAGAGCTTCCCCAGACAACTGAGGAGGCTGATGGGACGATAGCTGGAGGGCTTATTGGCCGGTTTATTCGGCTTGCGAATGCCAATAACCGTAGCTTGCTTCCAGGCGTCCGGAAAGGAGCAACTGGAGGGAAGGGTATTGAAAATTGTAGCCAGTAAACAGATAAGCGGCCCAGGGAGAGCTTTGAGAATCTTATTACATCTGGGCCCGGGGCGGATTTTGGTTTTAAATTTTTAATAATATCTTGGACCTC